TACAGCTCGTTCTCTTATGTATCAGAACGAGTTTTAAGGCAGATATTGAATGTTCCGTCGCTGAATTGTTGCACAGCACGACATCTCGTCTGATTGGGAAATTTTTCATACAACGGAGCATTGATAACTTCAACAAATTAAACTACGTACAACGATTGTCTTAATTTGTGCGAGCACTGCCTCCGGTGTCGACTCGAGTACAACATCGGCAAGTCACTCTCCCTCCACAGTTATCTACATGTTCACATGTTCCCATACGAGTCGATTCGACACGCAAACCTTTGCAACAACCTTACGAGGGACCTTTTCAAGTGATTTATCGTCATGAGAAAACCTTCAAGGTTACTCGACATTGCTACGTCGAGATCGTCAGCAGTGATCGTCTCAAGTCAGCACGCGCAGATGACAGTGCTCTACTTGCTAATCCAGTGGTTATTAAACCGAGATCGCGCTCTGGTTTACTATTCAACTTATTGTGAATCATGTTCACCATTGTTTCGAACTGTTCGCTTCATCGTGAACAATAATTAATTGTATTCGGTTTAATATTTAGGGTTAGTATATTTACCAAATATCCTTAGAGAATGATTGTTGGAAGTCTAACTACTATCGGTCAATATTATGGTCATCATAACTAATAATGTCATAGACTTCGATGTTGTTTCTTATTGGTTTTTCTGACTATCAATGTCACAGACTTCAATATTGTTTCTTATTCTACCTGACTGTATAAATATGTAGTAGGGTTAGGCATAAGGTTAACAACCACATACCACAGAAACCCAACTCGTTTACGCAAACGGATACTGGGACGGTAATTCGCTAGTCGGCGGCCTAAACACGGATTCCCAAAATGCGTCTCTTATGACACAGGCCGGATATCCGTTTGCTAACCAAAGGACCAGTGTACTTTGCAGGAGTTCGCTCGGTCCTACTTTATGTCTGTAAAACGTGGCCAGTAAGGGTAGAGTACATTCGCAGGTTAGTATTAGTATACGATTATAGATGTCTTAGAAGCACTGTTCGTATATCCTGCCACAGCCCAGTAAGCATTGCTATCGTTACGAAACGACTAGTAAGTAGGGATGGCAGATCAAGAGATAAAGTACTGAAACTTCATCATTTGAGGTGGTTGACACATATGCTGCGAATGTCTGACCACCAACTGTCTCGACGAGCCATGTTTTGTAGTGTAGGAGTAAGTTTAAGGAAAGCTATGAGAGGACTAGAGTCATCTTGGTAGATGTAGTCTACCTGATTTGGGTCCGCGAGATTATAGTTTTCGAGGTTTGTAGACCTAGAATGACACGGCTAAAAATTCGTTTGTAATGACGCAGATGCATTCATTCATTATGTTCTCTAAAATTCTAACATTCTGAATTCCCCATCATGTATATCATTCTGTTTCTAAAGTTATCTCAATGCATTATAGTTCTCAAATCATATCAGTCAGTCAGTTAGTCAGTCCGTTACAACATCAGTTCATGATGCCATACCACATTAGCAAAGAGACACAATTGTCAATTCAAATCCAATAGTGGTAGAGATAGTAGAAGAATTACTGCTAATGCAGAAGATTAGGATTTGAAGATGATATTCAAGAAGTATAATTCAGTGAGATAAGCTAAAACAGACAAAGATAAAGGTGTTGAGGAATCCAGAAGATTAGGATCTGAGAGAAGACAATGAGTGGATGCACCTGCGCCGTTGCAAATGATTTTGAGCCATGTCGTTCAAGGTCTCTAGCCATTGCTGACTGTCATCTCGCGGACCCCAAACAGGTAGCCTACATCTACCAACATGACTGAGTCCTCTTGTCAGTGACTTAATGGATTTGTGCCATGTTTTGGTCTGCCCATCCCTAGCCTTCCTTCAACCTACTCCTACATCACAAAACATAGCTTGTAGAGGAAGATGAGATAATGTAGTAGCAATGACAATGAAAAAGATCGAGATACATAAATACAGAGTGGATAGGTACGTATGAAGGGGAACTGAAATCTAAGATCGAAGTGAAGATAAAGAGTGAATGCACTAGCACCATCCTAAACAATTTCGACCGATGTCACCCAAGTGACGCAGCTTTTATAAGGGCCGACAGAGCTTTTGCAATCCATGATGAGATTGCATCAGAAACCAACCGATCAGAGTTGATGAAACTTTCAAGCTTAGTGAAGTGGTTATTACACTCAACCACTTGATTCATTATTATTGGTTCACAGGCATAGACAGAGATCAGTCATGAAGCAACATTTTGTATTTGAAGGGAGAATGGCGTCTCAAACATACTGGCAATGTTGTTATAAGTAATGAAAAGACTATATTTTATCAGTCTATACAACTAGCAGTGTGTTGCGTACATACTCTAAGTTGGTACGTCTTCTGGTGGAAGGTCAACTCTCCAAAAGTTAAGTGAAGAAATTGTTATTTCCAGGAGGGCATTCATGGCAAAATCAAATGAAAGTAGAAACATTAGATAGTCTTAACGAACAACACTTGAGGTAGACGGTTCACTATAAGTTCTGATTCAGCTAATATTCTGAGCAGTTGGACTTCCTAAGGCTTATGTACTTCTTTGGTACACCTTTGATTCACACTACAATTACACAATTCAGTCAAGGGGATCGAACACTGCCTTTGGGTTAAGAAATGCAACTACAGTTGGGGGTCAGTAAGTACGCTTATGTTCTAAAGAGAGATGGGTGGTGAATATTTGGTCAGTACAACTATTCCCGTCTAAAACAATCCTGATTTTCTGAGTTCGCCTCTCACGAATCACAATCGACTGTTGGATGACTGTAAATGGTAGTGTTTTATATATTACACTAATCAAACTGATTTCACTGTTAGCACGAGGAAGTTTAGGTCCATTCGTATAAACTAGATTGATCAGATAGGGTTACGTCCATTTCCAAAGTTCTAGCTAGTATTTCATTCAGTTCAACTGAAACTTGACCGTCATCTTCACTGATCTACCGCGTTAATTTCATAAGGCCGTTCGACTATTATCGCTTTACCTTATTAGCTACAGTTTTCTAAACCTCACTGAGATTCGGGGGATTTGTGTCAATTTAGCATTTAGATTGTTTAGGATAATGGGTAACTGTAGAGTAGCTAGAGGCCACATGGACCGCTCTTCAGGGTATCCTGCTAAGCGATCTAACCTCCCAGGCTCTGAATGAATAATTGCACTTTTCCCCGGGAAAGTCTCACTAAAGGTTGCCTTAACAACAACTAGCAATTTAATCAATCCATCAAAATTAGTCTGCTGTTTTATATAGCCCCTAGCACAATCATCTATTATTTTTTTGGCCACCACTGTTCAGGACCGATGGACAAACTCCTAACTAGTTAATGATTAAGTAGTTGTCAATTCTTATTGTTATTCGAGCCGACCGGAATGGATATTCGAGCATCTATGAATTCACATTTTGTGACAGAATACATCAGTTTATCTTGATATTTCGATTTCGGACTATAATATATATCACAGTCGCATTTACAGATATTCCAGTTTTACTTCAGGCTTCTCTAGAATGCTCTGTTCAATCATAAACAAATTTTTATTGTATCCATTCCTGAACTTTCCAACCTCAAATTGATCTTCAAGGGGTTACGCTGATGTGACTTTCGTATGTCCAGGAAAAACGCACAGAAAAGAAGGCTTTCACTGAGCTATGATCGGAGTACTAGCATGTACCCAACGAGGAGCGTAAATTTTCAACCGATCCTCTACAATGATGAATGGGACATAAATGATTTGTGTCCATCTTCGTTGCGATGCTAGGGGTCTCAATGTGAGATGGTGTCTTTATTGGTGTTCGAAATTTGTACTTCTTAAAATCAATTGACTTTTTAAATTTATTTTTAGGGGACAATCACTGTTATCTGTCTATACGGTAGAAACGCCATAAGACCTAGGTGTACTTCAGAGTGACCTGGTCTATTACCCTGTGGGTTCAAATCACCTGCTTCTATTGGATCTGAGCCGTTTTCCGTCTGAAGGTATTGATAGAGACTCCTGTCAAAACCAATTTTTACTCCATCTAGTCTGAAATCAGTGGACGCATAGGCAGAAACCATAAACAAGTGATGCCATGAGTCCCTATCTTTTCGAGTTGTCAAGGTTTTATTGAGACAGACAGCATGCAAGTAACTATCAACAGAAATTCAGTCGAGAGTTTGCCGTTTAGCTCTAAGACTCAGTGACACACATATCAGCAGTACCACAATAAGTTGTGGTCGCATTGAACGAATGACCATCGCAATCACCAGACATATGTGAGATCGACTTCAGCAAAGGTATTTTCTTTACTAGATACATGTTAGCAGAGATCTCGTAAAATCTCGGTAAATTTTTCACACTCATTTGAGTTTTCGTGGAAACTAATCATCAAAGCATCTTTAGTAATAACTAGCATCTACATTTTCAAGGTTCGCAACTGCAGCAAAAACCAAAACAAACAATGGCACACAACAAATCAGTGAAGCAAGTAAAGAAGTGCACAATTACCACACTAATAAATGAAGGAAAGTGAACAAACTACATAATCGTACATAATAAATCCTAAGATAAATACCGTAAAAATGACAAGGCTATTAAAATTGGGCCTAAGAGTATCACTGAGAAACATATTTAGGAAGCTCGTTTGTTTTTCTGGAAATTTACATCATTTAAATTATCTAATATCCAATATATTTCACACCAGGTAATATAAACCATTTGATTTCTTTGCACTCGATTTTCGTTCTTTTGGTATGGCAGCAGGTGTTTGGTAGTTACAAATGAATAGGAGTTAAGCCTCTCGTCTTTCTAAGTCTGGAACTAACTACCGTAAAAGATAACAAGGCTATTAAAATTAGGCCAACGAGTATCACTGAGCAAGATTTTTGGGAAGCTAGTTTGTTGTTCTCGAACTTTTAATCACTTAAATTATCCAAAAAGTCAAAAGTTTTACACCCATAACAAGAAAGAAATGAAATCCGACCAAACTCCAAACCTGACACAATAAGGTCTCACCTTGAATAGACCTTGCAGATCAGTTTAACTCAAGGTCCTATATCCAATATTTTTTACACCAGGTAATATAAACCATTTGATTTCTTTGCACTGGATTCTTGGTCTTTCGATACAGTTCCAGGTGTTTAGTAGTTACCAATGAATAGTAGTTAAGCCTCTCGACTGTCTAATTCAAGTCAGTTTGCAGTGGTTTTTGAGTTTATATATCCAGTCATTTAAATGAATACGTCTGTTTCAGTGCAGTATGGTTTCTGGATACCAGTGCCTATCACATTACAATATTGCAGATCATTTAGGTGTAGTGTGGAGAACGACGAGGAGGAACTTCTCATGCTTATATGAATAAAATTTCAGAACCAAGTAAATCAATAGTTCATTTAGTTTATGAATTGGTAGTGAAGATTGTGAGAGAGGACCGAAGTGTAAGCAAGGGAGAGGAAACGGAGATAATAGGCGAGATAGATGAAGTTATTTATTTGAGGAGATGGCAATGATAACAACTAGCAGGTCTGAAGACATTCATCAGGCACAACTTGTCCACAAGGGAGATGATAATCCTTATGTGAGTACGTGTTTATCAAGTCCCTTCTTAAAGCTGTCCACTGATGGGGCTGTGGTCACGTCGACTCAGAGAAAATTCCAAGTTGAAACGACTCTTTATGATAAAAAGTGTGCACAAAGCTGAGTTATCATACTTGGATGCGCAATATTTCGAGGATTACCTCGATGGGAGTGGTGGTGATGTACTGGTGAAGTGCTGACGTTTGGATGACTTGGAGTGCTTAATACGTTGCACTCCATTGTCAACCTATTGTGAATCATGTTCACAGATGAATAATTTTATTTTCTTTTACGATTGTTTTGAACTGTATACTATATCTTCCACAATATTAAATGGTATCCTATACAATGGGTATGAAAATCCTGTATAATTTTGCCTAATAACTAAGCTATCACCTCTTACTCTATGTCAACCAGGAAAACCTGCAGAAGTATGAACAACGCAGTGAGTAGTGAAACGAAAATCCCATCCTAGAACCACAGGATCTTGAAGAAACCTAGGGTTCAGTCGACACAGTCTGTTGTACAGAAATCGCACAATGATGACTGCATCGCTTGCTCAATGCTAGTTAAAATCAGCGACTCCGCTCTTGGGTGCCATTTCTGTAGCAAATGTGTCTATTGTCACTGCCTGACTTCAGTAAATAGAGAGTAATATGGATTCATGTTGAGTCACCCATGTCGATGGTCCTGGTATATCTGCCCACAGTGCAGAGTAACTGTTGCATTGGCGAAGCCACAGGCCGTACAAAAAATTAACTCCAAAGTCCCGACAGATAAGCCTAAATTACCTGGCAGTTAACCGGTGAAAAAGGAAACCGAAGCAGATAAAAACCAAACCAATTCACTGACAAAACTGCTGGTTGTTCTGGAACACAGAGGGTACGTTAACGATACGGAACACTGGGTGAATGTGAGGAAGAGGGGAAAAGCAACACCATCACTCACATTAAAATAACAGAAATGGACAAGTTCGATAGACTGAATTCAGATATTTCATTAAAAGTTCCAGTGTCTAAGGGAAGCTTACCAGAAATAAGGGTTGCCTTTGATAAAGGAAAATGGGATAAATACTGCGCTATCCTCGGGATGAAGTTGAGTTGCACATGCATTGAACGCATGATATTCAAGAAGTATAATTCAGTGAGATAAGCTAAAACAGACAAAGATAAAGGTGTTGAGGAATCCAGAAGATTAGGATCTGAGAGAAGACAACGAGTGGATGCACCTGCGCCGTTGCAAATGATTTACATTTACTCGTGAACAGAGTAAATGTAAACTGATTGATTTCTTATCACTCGATTCTTGCTCTTTCGGTACGGTTCCAGGTGTTTGGTAGGGACCAATGAATAGGGGTCCAGTCGCTCGAATGTCTAGATCTGGTCAGTTCGTCAAGTTGTGTGAGAGGACCGAAGTGAAAGCAGGGAAGATAATAGGCGAGATAATAGGCGAGAAATATTAGGTTAGTGATCTGAGGAGATGGCAATAAGAACATGTAGTAAGTTTCAAGACACGCATCAGGCCCAGCTTGTCAATAAGGGAGAAGACAATCCGCATGTGAGTACGTGTTTATCAAGTCTCTTCTTAACGCTGTCCATTGTGGGTGGTGTGGTAATCTCGGATGAGAGAGTATTCGAAGTTGCGACGACTCACAGTGAGAAGAAGTGTGCATGAGCCTTAGTATTCGTTCTCTGTAGTTCATCTTCATAAGTTTTAGCTTTCAACCCTATCACTCGATCCGATAGATTTAGGTCTCTTTTGAGGATAGGGGATGTGACGGCGTTGTGAACCTCTAGGTGTGGTCTCGCATGTGTCTTAAAGAACGTTGGGAATAATTGTCGGGTGACAGCAACAATTTCTTTTCGCATAAACTGAAGAGTTGAATTTACCCTGTCTTCGTCCACTATAAATTTTGGGTTTGTTTGAAGGCTTCCAGTAAGTAGCTAATGTGAACATTACGATCATTTGCGAAGTAGAATTAGTTCTGTTGCTCATCTGTGTAATGAAAAGCAATTAACAACGAACATACAAAGTGAGATTATAATCTAAGATTAAGTTGAAGTAGAAGTATGATGAACCTCAACATTCTAACGAGAGTGTTCTGGCATTTCGATGTGACTGAGATGCGTAGTTTGAGTGTTTCACCATCGTGTAAACAACATTATTCATCAGAGTTTGAATATATCTTTCAGTAGCCAGTCACAAGTAATAATTATCAATGAGTGATCTGGTTTATGTAACTCAAGGTTTCGCCTTGTTCATACAGGTATCATACTACTGTTTTGATGCTGAACACGAGGTATAGAATAAATGTGGAATGTGAAATTTACATGGAAAATGCATGCGAGAAGTGAAGTAGTTACAAAACCATTTCAAAATAAACTATTGGTGGAAGCAATATGTTTAGAGTAACTGTGAATCAAGCTGTCTTGATCAACTACACTCTTCTCAGTTGCTTCGGCAGCATGCACACACTCATTAACTCTCAAACACAGGACTTGTGGACAAGTTATTGGATCCATGAGAAGTTACTTACTCGAACGGTTAAATGAGAAGTTGCAATTGTTGAGTACTATCAAGTTTTATTGTTTCGTATTTATATTGATATCTTACTAAATTCCTCCTTCAGAAACTCCTATTTCGCGTATTTTCCTCTCTCAATTATCTAGTTTTCCATCTCTAAATCTCTCATGTATCATGTTACGTAGCAAGGTTGCTACCATTTCTTTCACTATGACAACCAGGAAAACCTGCAGAGGTATGAACAACAGAGTGAGTAGTGAGACGATAATCACATTCTGGAATGGCAGGATTATGAAAAAACTCAAACTGTCTTTTGAGGGCAATCCTCGGAGTAGTTTTCATAATCCGGATCACATGACCTAAACACTTCCACTATGTCTCCAACAGCGCAACCAAGAAAACACTCCTTAGATTGCTACTCCGAAAAAGACCAGTAAACAAAATAAGAATAGGAGAAAATGGTGACCTTGGATTCAGTCGACACAGTCTATCCACTTCCCGAGCCATGTTGATGTGTGAGTGATATGCTCGTCAAGTGATGGGCTTGAATGCTTCCATGAGTTCACCTAACTCGGTAGACAGAACGAAAGCAATGACACAATGACACGATAAACTATTCTATTGCATTTGTCCTCATCCCGCACTAGATCAAGAAGTCTTGATAAGGCATAGAAAATATATTCTACAAGCACCAGGAAACTTTGAGATTGAGAAGCACAAAAATCAAGCTTACATGCAGAATGATAGAAACGCCCTTGAAAGAGCCACAACAATAGCTAACTAGAATAACCCATCAAACAATGACAGTGAGAGATTTCTGAGTTGAAAATGTAATCTGAAGTTCAACTGTCGAGATCAGAATAAAATTACAAAATAAGATCCTTTCCGAATGAGTTCTGGCAATCTAACGTCCCCAACACTCATCCCCTTTCCGCTCGTCCAATCGACTGTGCGTGGTATGGTGGCGAGCGTGAGTATTTGATGACCTGCTCTCGATGGAAAGCTTAGAATCAGCTAGAGGTAAATTGCAACCCGTCGACTGTGTAGATGGATTTTCTACCGTAGCAGTTCAATTCGATTCTAATAGACGTATGATGAACGCACCTTCCTCTATTCGAATATCAAAACACAAAAATTCTAGGAGAAAGTGGTCTATTTACATAAAAGAAATGGAAATACAAACGTTACCTAACAATTGTTACGTCTTCCAATTCGAAATTACTCTGTTGAGTACCCGGGTTCCAAAGACTAGGTGAATCTAGTATACTGCGACGATATCAAATCCAAAAATGTGGCTGTAGCCATATCATATCAAATTTAAACAACATGTGTACAATTCAGAAGCAAACATAACAACTTCAATATAAGTACAAAATATAGAAATAATAACAATATATAATGATGAAAGCTCAAAATAGAATCAAATAAAATACCAAAATGTCAACAGAAAGAGTCCGAAATGTCATAACAAAAATATATAAACATGGAGGGATTTTCCAAGAAACAAAACATTCAAAAAAGTTTCTACACCGGCCCGCAAAATCCCTCCATGCAAAAAGTCAAGCGTATACTGACACTTCAAGTTAGGGTTCCCTCTCATTCCCTAATTCACACCGGAAGATCGAGTAGGAGTTACAGCAGTACGTCTACCCGCCCTCCAACATGGATATGACCTATCAAGCTAACTAGGTACCTGTACCTTCCCATCAGGTCCTTAATTCCCCTATCTATCGTAGCATGACCTAACGGTAGTATAGACCTTACCCAATTAACCCACACGAACATGTACAACACGTCGTAAAGCTGGTCATATCCTATCCGGGAACTACATTCCATATCATGGGGATGAGTCGTCAATTGACCACCACTTGCTCCGATCGACAGATACAATGAAGTCAGTGATGCTGAC